CTGAGTCGAGTGCCCTAATTACCTGGCCATGCCGGGCCCTTTTTAGTAAAGTATTGCGAATACTTAAAGTTTATATAACTAATGGCTGGAAATATTCGTTGAGATTTTAATGGATGAAATACATACAAACTTAAATTCATGGGATAAAAATCTTACCCTCTATTTTGTATTTCAGCTCCAATTTCCTGTTTTTCTTCGACTTCTCTGACCCTAAATCTTATTTTTTATATGTATTTTCTAAATCGTGCTTTAAGTTGTAGTGTTTCAAACAGAAGCCACCAGAAACAAAATCAACGCTGTTGTCATGAAACTTTGGATATTACTTTCGTGGTATTAAGACATCTCACAAATTCATGATGAGAACACAACAAATAACTACTAATATATTTTAAAATTCAGCCTGTTGAGTAAAGACTGATTTAGTTAAAGAAATTCTCAAAAACTTGGGGAAAAAAAAACAGTCTTGTTGAACAAAGCTTTAATTTTTAAGACAACGTTTAATGATCAACCACATCTTTTTTTTTTTTGTAGTCAATAAAAACATACTATAACTACATTTATTTTTACAAAACCTTTTAAAGCAGCAGCAATACAGAAAATTATTCAAATTACACAAGAAGCGAAGACTCGAAAATTTTCGTTCTAAACGAGAAACTACGTATATTTGCATAACATACATTATCACAGATCAGTGTAGGGTGTAATTAACTACACACAGTAATTGAGGTGCACTTCTTACACCGTTGTTTACGTACATCTAATACAGAAGCAAACTGAAATTGACATCTTTAGTAGCGGATTTTTAGGCAACTTTGTTTTCTTTCTTAAAACAATCAGACATTTTGTAATTGAGGTTATGCGTTAGAGAAATGAACGTAATTAAAATTTTAATCTTTACTATTTATTTCCCGCTTTTCTAGCGAAGACATCACGAGATAAATATTATTGGACCTGATTTCTAACATGTTGCTGGCTGTTATTAATAAAACTTATAAAATATTAAACTTTTAATTTTACAACTAGAAACGGTAATGATAACTGAATATTTCAACTAGCCTACTTTCTATACATTTTCCTAATTCTTATTTTCTTTCTTCAAACAATTTTCCATTTGCAGGAATATTCGAGTCTTTATATATCGATCAAATAGTACACTTTGTGCTATTGTTAAACGTTTGGACGTTTTAAAGAAACGCCCATTTCTATTGGCCGGCCAGCCACGCCACGAGATGCACTCCGCTTGATATTACAACCAATAAACTTTTTTAATTCATTATTTTTTTTAAATATTTGATTTCTAGAGAAACTTTCCTATTTTAACTTACACCACATTCTACAGTTTTGTATTTCTCTCGAAGCTGCTTCAGGATCTTTCTGAAAATTCTTCTGTTCTTAGCCATGAATGGTTGTCTAAGTTTATTGTTTCTGTCGAACATTTTGATTCCAGGGGCGTGGACAAGGAAGGCGTCGTCCAAGATATGAAGATCATATCTCAAGTAGCATAGCTCGTGTGACTAGAGGTAAAAATAGACCAACACGTTCACTTTAATAAATGTATACCAACACGTTCACTTTAATAAATGTATACCAACACGTTCACTTTAATAAATGTATACCAACACGTTCACTCTAATAAATGACTTTCTAGAAGTTAGATTGAAGTTTTTCATTTTAAAATGTTATCACAGTTTATTAAGCACAAAACTACACAATGGGCTATCTGTGCTGTGTCCATCGAAGGTATCGAAACACCATTTTTAGCGTTAGAAACCCATAGACTTACTTACTGCTCAGCCATGGGAACAGGCCTATTTTATGGTATTTATAGTTCTACACATATGAGCCAAATTATGACGTTTTATTCTTAAGATTAAACTTCGATTTGATCAATAATTATACTTGTGTTTGTTTAAACAGCTTGTGCCAGTTTCCTCTAGTTCGAACAGACAGACTTTTAGCTGGTACAGATCCAACCCAACTAAAAACAAAACAAAAAACTTCGCAGGAATTGGGGACTTGAAAGGTAACCTGGAGTGGTCAGAAATGTTTTGTTCGAGTTATGTATTTTTTTAAAGGTCTCCTACACAGTGACACCTGGTGGACGAAAGGTGAATCTGATGTATTACTTTTACCCATTTTTGATTCGAAATTTCTAACAGACTAAAACGATAAACAATGAACTCCGATCAGATGGTATTTAAAAGAAATAACATACTGAAAATGATTAAATGATGCACCTCTTTAACAAATGTTAAGAGGTACATGATAGAATTACTTTAACTTGTTCCAAAAAAAGATTTAAATAATAAAACACAAAACTACTAAATAGTAGCCTTTCAGTGACGGAGAGTTTCAGAAAACAGCATAAACTCGATTTGTTATAAAACGTTGAACTCTGTAGATTTTCACAATCTTTTATCTCGAGGATTTCATGTCCTGTATTCTTGAATACATGAATGACAAGTCCTGAAAATCACAAAAATCTTACTTGGAAACCCAATTTACGTAAATAAATTCATTTTACATTGACAATTGTTGTGCTGTCTGAAATTAGACTACTAAATGTTTTAATTTCGTATTGATTTTATCAGTGAGCGTTTAGTGTATGTGTCTTATCTATCTGTATACTTGAATAAGGAAACATTATACTACTATAATAACAGGTAGGCAAACAACGACTTATAAGCTAGAAGACAAGTCTTATTAATGGTGGAACCACAATACAACTTTTCCTTATGCTTGTAAATCGTTGTTTGCTTACCTGTTATTATTTATTCACACGTTTTTAAGGAAATTTAATACCATTTAAATGTGAAATAACGTGGCTTTTCCAGCTATTAATAAAGTCGGAAATCTTAAAAGAACTGTACGTGAGAACCTTAGAACCGAAAAATGTACATACATTACACACAAACCAACGAAACCTGTTAGCACACGACTCTACAGGAAGGCAGTTCTTATAACGTTTACACATGAGTGAAGGCAGTTCTTATAGCGTTTACACATGAGTGAAGGCAGTTCTTATAACGTTTACAAATATGTAAACGTTATAAGAACTGCCTTCACCAATGTGTAAACGTTATAAGAACTGCCTTCACCAATATATAAACGTTATAAGAACTGCCTTCACTCATGTGTAAACATTATAAGAACTGCCTTCACTAATATGTAAATATTATAAGAACTGCCTTCACTAATATGTAAACGTTATAAGAACTGCCTTCACCAATATATAAACGTTATAAGAACTGCCTTCACTCATGTGTAAACGTTATAAGAACTGCCTTTACTCATGTGTAAACGCTATAAGAACTGCCTTCACTAATGTGTAAACGCTATAAGAACTGCCTTCACTAATGTGTAAACGTTATAAGAACTGCCGTCACCAATATATAAACGTTATAAGAACTGCCTTCACTCATGTGTAAACGTTATAAGAACTGCCTTCACTAATAGGTGAAGGCAGTTCTTATAACGTTTACATATTGGTGAAGGCAGTTCTTATAACGTTTACATATTAGTGAAGGCAGTTCTTATAACGTTTACACATTAGTGAAGGCAGTTCTTATAACGTTTACACATTAGTGAAGGCAGTTCTTATAACGTTTACACATGAGTAAAGAAAAAAACCTCTTCTTTACCCCTTAATCGTTGGTAATACGAGTATCTCAAACTTGGCGGTGGGCGCATAGTTCATCTCATCGCTACAATAACAGTACGTTCTTTTTCTGAAGCACGTGACGACAGATCACATTGTAACGTGCTTTTACACAATTGGGTTATGTGCAAAGTACAGTGAATTTTGTTTTTCTTTTCTGTAAAACAACGTATTTGCATCCAGTTATTGATGTTAAACTGTTACCTTATCTATAAGGAACTGTTTAGTTGAAACCTCTAAGAGGCTGTTTAAGAGATCCAGAAACAGGTCCTGGTAAAGTTGTCAAAGTGGATGTCTTCTTCCGACAAGTAAATAGTTTCTCTCACTTGACATGTGAGTACTTCTGGCTTTAACTGTCTGTCTCTCTTGTTCATTCTGGTTTTCTTGGTGGCGTCTTTTCCAGTTATCTACTGTCCGTTTCGTTTTTTCTTTGTTTTTGTTTGCATCTCCAACAGCAATCTCCTGTCTCTCCCCTGGTTTGGTTGTACGCATATTTCACCGGCTATTTCTTGTCTCTCTGGTTTTGTTGTTCGCTTATTCAGAAACAATTCTATCCCTAAATCTTGTTGGAAAACGGGAATTGGACAATTACAAGATGGGAAAAAAGTATGCACTGTTACAAAACATTACCACGACAGAAATAAATGGCGAGTAATGAGTCATAAGCTCGGCAATCCAAAATCCTGTTACCATATGAAACGACAGGGAGTCCTCTAACCCTCCCATTAAACTAAAGAGAATATCTTACGAATAGTCAATAGAATAGAAGTTAGTACACGTGAAACAAAGCGCAGAGCTTATTGCTACACCACATATATTCTTTGTTTTTTATCTTAAGCGCAAAGCTACACAACGGGTTGTCTGTTCTGTGTCCATCGCGGGTGTCGAAACCCATAATTTAGAGTTATCAGCCCCCAGGCTTCCGCTCAGACACCGGCGGACTAATACATTAAAAAATCGCAAGCACAAGTAACACATAATGGCGTACTTCCACAAGCCATTGATAACAAAAACAAATGCACAGCGTCGATTGACATGTAGCAAGGAACATCGAACATGGACCGTGGATCAATGGAAATCGGTCCTGTGGAGCGATGAGTCACACTACACGCCCTTCCAGTCTGATGGACGTGTTTGGGTATGGAAAATGCCTGGAGAACTCTTATTACCAGAGTGTTTGGAGGTGGCGGTATCATGGTCTTGGGGTGCTTCTCATGGTATGGACTAGGTCCACTGAACGCAGTGCATGAATCCATGAATGCTGAATCCTACATTGATGTTCTGAACATTTCTGTGTGTCCTACATTGTGGAAATTTTATGGTACCGGCCCTTACACCTTCCAACATGATAATGCTCCATGTTACAAAGCAATGATTGTGAACGCTTGGTTTACAGGGAATAACATCGGTACATTGCAGTGGCCAGCACAAAGTCCCGACCTCAACCCAGTAGAACATCTTTGGGATGACCTGGAGCGCAGAATTAGAGCAAGGCCAAGATGACCCTCTTCAGTAATGGAGCTTACTAATGCTTTAAAGGAGGAGTGGAGCACAATACCAACAGCTTTCTACCAGAAATTAGTGGACAGTCTTCCATGACACATTGAAGCCATCATTAAGGCCAAAGGCGGGTCAACACGCTATTAATTTCTTGGAATAAAGACATGTTTTATTCATAACTAGTCGTGTCCCATGACTTTTGGTAGGATAATGTACATGTAGTATGTGCATTCAGATACAGAATCAAAACTTTTAGAAACATTGGCTTCTAGCCGAAATTGTGCGTGAAGACTGAAACATTGTTTTTTCTCAGAAATGTTTCTGGTGCTGTTAGTTCTACTTGAACGAAGCTATCTTCAACAGAATCAATACCCTAAACACCCTTAAGAAACACTATACGAGATAAAACATAATAGTTTTAACTCGAATATCATATAAGCCTGAGTAAGATTTTAACTCGAATGTCATATAAGCCTGAGTAAGATTTTAACTCGAATGTCATATAAGCCTGAGTAAGATTT